GTGTGAATTGTTCTGAGATTATTTATTCATTATTTTACAAAAATTCTCATCTCCCCTCTTAAGGAGAGGAGCACAGTCGGCCGGGGTTCAGGGCCCCAGGGAGAGAAACTGGCGTACAATGCGGGCAGAATCTAAGAGCACCGCTTTCTGCATCTTTCCCGGGAGTGAGCCGCCTCGGAATCCCAACCGTCTGAGATGTTGTTCCAGACTGGTTGGGATAAGACCGTTCACCGACATAACGATTGGAATGATTTCGGTGGACATCCTCGTGAGCCAGGTCGAGATATTTTCTCTTTTTCTCTTTTATTATTTTTCCTCTTGACTTTCGCCGAGTACATAACCATGTTCTATTTTTAGGTGTATATACTATAATATAAATGTTGGCCTAATCTAAATCTGTAGAGTATTTTATTATTATTACTATTATTATTTCCACCGTTTCACAATTTACATATATCGGTTATTTTATAGTGATCACAAGGACGGGCTTATTTTTATTATTATTATTGTTATTTTTTTTTATATATATATTATATATCTCCCATTGATGGGGTAATAGAATGATCATTGCGGGTAAAAATCACCAAACAATGACAGTATAAATTATGAATGATGAGGATGGATAATTTTTAAGTGGAAGACAAAAATTTGCGGACTATTCTACAAGTGTTTAATATTACAGCTTTTTGGAGAAGGATGAAAGTAAGTGGGTGAAGTTGTAATATTTTGGGGCTAGTGTGTAGGGATGCTGGGATAACACCTGTGGACGAGATAATAATTGGGAGAGTTTTCACTGTTTCTACCATTGTATTTTTAGTTCTATTACTAGATCAGTATACTTAGTAATTTTTTCTGTATGTGTTGATAGAAGATTATGTGTATTTGGTATTGCAATATCTATAAGGTAAACTATTTTATTTTTCTTGTCATGTAGCGTTATATCTGGTCTGTTGTGATGTACAGTTTTGTATGTTATTACAGTCCTGTCCCAATACAACCTCCAACCGGGAGAGTCGAGTACTATCTGCGGGGTGTATTTGTAGTAATTTTTCGGTGATTAATTGATATTTAGTGGCTAAGTATTGATGTACTCTTTATTATTATTATTATCTAAATCGACATGCACATCGACTTTGTTTCACACTATACAAAGATTACATGTATTAGTATTAATAAAACATTAATAAGCATACTATATCAGAGTGATGTATGTAGGCTGTATGTCAATAATGAACTAATCGCCACGTTGCATAACGGACCGGTCGAGATGCGATCAAGGTCTGTGTCGAGTCACTGCGCCTGCGCAGCCGCGCCGCCTCTCATACGCAGTCATTATTCGATCAATTAGTTGTAATATAATCGACGCACACAATTTGTGCAAAGTCAAAATCTTCTATGTGTCCTATCTGTCTAATAAGAACTAGTTGTCGCCCATTCATTCATAATTTAAGAGCTGTGCTCTTGTTAATGGAGCTCTCCACATTCCGCGATCTTCTATCAGTTCTTTTAACTGTTGATACGACACGACTCCTTCTTTGTTTTCTTTGTTGAGTTGTCGCCCAGTGGTCAGAATTCGACCAAAATTAATTTTTAATAATAACATTTCAGGACAATTCACACAGCGCCATCTAGTCCCAAGCTAAACAGAGCTTGTGTTATGGGTACTAGACAACTGATACATATATTTGTAGATACATACGTATTGTACATAATACACAACAAAACCTAGATATACTATATATAGGTACTTGTAGTAATCTTTGAAAAGATTGAACAGATTTTCATGCGGTTTTCATACATCGACAGACAGATTTCTTATGAATGTTTCATCATCATTATCTTATTTATATGTGTAGTATGTTTATAATATATATAAATATATAAATATGTATGTATGTATGGTCATAATTTGTTTGTATGTAGTATATTATCATGTATATGTATGATCTTATATCTATTTAATATAATTACATTTAATTTATTAAAACTAAACCGCCTTTGAGTATCTCTGCACTCCCTAAGGTTGTCTGGTAGAGAATGCTATTAGCATTAAGCCCGTCTATTGTACAAAATCAATAAAGTTTTAAATAAATAAATGTTTCGTGTACAAAGGTTCTTTGTAAATATATAGAAATGTCCGAGAAAAGCCGGGACAGGTCGCTAGTTACATATTATAAAATCGTGCCGAGGTAAACGATCAGTATGTCTGTTTGTCTGATTGTTTATTAATGTTTCACGTAAAAATATGAGGTACTATCTGTGCACGCGTTTTCACCTGCGTTAAATTTTAATAAAAAATATAGCCTATATGTTATTCTGATGCATAAGCTGTGTATATTACTGTAAAGTTTCATCAAAATTCGTTGAGTATCAACAAAGCAACAAAGATTAAGTTTTTGAGGTATTATGATTATATGTACATAAGACACGTGACAGACACATAAACAGAGGTGACGGTGTAACGGTGCTGTACATGGTCGCGACGATGTATTGTTTGATGCGGTTGTATCAAGGGTTGACAGTACAAATAGGGTTGCCAGCAATTAGAAATTAGAATTTTTTTGTCATTTTATTTAGTTATTTTAAAATACTAGTAGTTACCCCAATTGGTGAAATTCGTTCAAAATTAATTTGAAAATGATTTAAAAAGGTTTCTATTGACTAAGAATATTTGGTGCGTGTTGTTTTTTTATTTTTATGTTTAATTAAAAAATATATATTAGTGTTTTGGACTCCTTCTCTATATAAGTATGCGAAATTTCATACTTTACTGTCTGCACAATTATCGTAAAAAGGGGGTACAAAGTTTTTGCTTCGTTTTTATATTAATAATATAGGTATATATAAAAAACAATGCTAACATAAAACAATCTAAATATATATAACTCAAAGGTGACTGACGTAGTGATCTATCAACGCACAGCCCAAACCACTGGACGGATCGGGCTGACATTTGGCATGCAGGTAGATGTAATGACGTAGGCATCCGCTAAGAAACGATTGTGATAAATTCCACCCTTAAGGGGATAAAATAGGTGATGAAAGTTTGTATGAAAGTACTGTAAAGCCGCAAAAACTATACCTAATAATAATACTTCTTAACGCGAGCGTAGCCGCGTGCAAAAGCTAGTGTTAAATAAAATTAATGATAAGAGACATCTTTCTTACTATATTTATTATATTTCTTTCTATTAAGACCGAGCAAAATCTTTGTGTATCTTATTATATTTTTGAGTGACTCTCCTATGAAAGAAACACCGATAACAAACATAATTAATACGAGAGACGACCTTAAACTTTCTCCTATCACGTTAAATTATCAAAATATACTATTAAATATGGACATTCTACATTCGTAGTATAATTTCTGGCTATCCTAGGGTGCATTAGAGTCATGAATATATATTTTTAATATTACAGTCCAACCCTATGACTTAGTGACAGGAAGCGGCTACTTGTCTGAATGCAGTGCGTCATAAGTTCGAATCAGGCGGCCGGACGTATCAACGACCTACACTATTATGCTGTATGCATAAACATGAACACATTACAAAACCCTATAGGCTCAGTGGTAACAGGCAACAAGGCAAGTGGTCCTACCACGCCACCACTTGTCTGGATATTTAAATGAACATGCCTGACCCGTGAACTGTCCCACGTCCCAACTAATTAGATTATTCTTTGAAGACTTTTTTGAAATATTTATTTTGAGTGTTTCATTTTAAAGGTCATTTTGAGGACGTTATTGCGAGAGTTTACTTATGAGAGATTTATTTTGAGAGTTTCATTTTGAAGGTCATTTGATGATGTTATTGCGAGAGTTTCCTTATGAGATATTTATTTTGAGAGTTTTATTTTGAAGGTCGTATTGAGGATGTTATTGTGAGAGTTTCCTTATGAGAGATTTATTTTGAGAGTTTCATTTTGAAGGTCGTATTGAGGATGTTATTGCGAGAATTTCCTTATGAGATATTTATTTTGAGAGTTTCATTTTGAAGGTCGTATTGAGGATGTTATTGCGACAATTTCCTTATGAGATATTTATTTTGAGAGTTTCATTTTGAAGGTCGTATTGAGGATGTTATTGCGAGAGTTTCCTTATGAGAGATTTATTTTGAGAGTTTCATTTAGAAGGTTGTTTTGAGGATGTTAGTGCGAAAGTTTCCTTATGAGAGTTTCATATATCCCTTTAGTTACATAAATCCCGTTAGTACTAGTCACTACATAGCATAAAACAAAGTCGCTGTAGCTGTAGTCCGTCCCTATGTATGCTTAAATCTTTAAAACTACGCAACGGATTTTGAAGCGGTTTTTTAACAGATAGAGTGATTCAAGAGGACTGTTTATATGTATGATACATGAACACCCGTGCTAAGCCGGAGTGGGTAGCTAGTATGTATTACACTTACTGTGGCACTAGATAATTGTTGTTCTGTAACCTAATTGGAAATGTGAGTGTATATCCAATTCCTAAGAATAAAATCCCCGCAGAAAATAGTATGAAACAAACATGTTTATAACGCAATTAATGACATATAATTAAAGTTAATCACACACGTATGTACATTGTAAAATATTACACATATAAGGCCGTTGACGCATTATGGCGTACTCAAATGTATCCATATATAGGATTATAAGTGCATCGCCTTATTTGGATCACACAAGCTTCCTAGTCCAAGATTACGGAATACGATAACACATTCAAAGGACCTTTTGAATATTGTACTGTTTTGCGCCATCTGGCGTATCCGATTGCAATCTTAAGGTTTTTTTAATGGAATAGATGAAAATTAAAAAAAATCGTCATTAGTAAGAGAACAAATGTATACTAAAAGCTAAAGACAGAGACATATCAAAACATCTGTTAAATTACATTTACTGAATAAAGCATATTACTCACTAACCCTACTGACCCTATGTTACCGCCGTAACCAAATGAAATAGGGATTCAATTTTTTTATACAATATATGTACGATAAACTTTCATAAGTACTCACATTTATCTGCTACAAAACATCAGGAAATCTGTAACAAAACAACACAAATATTAAAATAGCAGTTCATTGAATAGTTCCTTAAATATATATAGTTCCTTAAAAATAATATCGTATGGTTCGGAAATACCATTGCTGGAAGGTGATTCCACAATGTGGTTGTGAGTGGCCAAAAGTTTCTAGAAAACCGCACTGTGGAGGACCGACATTCATCCAGATGATTAGGATGGTATTTTAGTTTCTAGCGGGTGGTACGGTGGTGAAACTCAGCAGCTGGTATTAATCCGAACAATTCCTCAGAACACTCCCCGTGATATATGCGGTAGAAAATGCACAGAGATGCAATATCTCGCCGCAAAGCCAATGGGTCGAGTCTGTCACATAGAGGTTGATTACCAATGATTCTGGCTGCTCGGTTCTGAATGCGATCAAGTAAAGTAGCTGGTATTGTGGTGCTCCCGCATAAACATACATAAACAACATATATACATATATTGATAATCTAATCTATGTAATAAATAGTTGACATATTTTTCGTTTTATGATGTCGGACGTAACGTATTTACATACGTAACTGATTATCAATATGTAATTCATTTAATATCTTATTGAACACTTCTATACTGTTGCTATTTAGTGTTGCTACTATTTCTATTTTTATTTATCTGTACTCAAGTTTTTTTTTATAAAAATCACATTTTTTATTATTTTCTCAAGGGGTAAGGGTAAGGGATGCGGAGTAATGACCCTAATTTTTAAAATGGGTGATAATGGAATGGTGCACACGCCGGCGCTAACGGTTTATGCTGGCGGGGCGCCAGTGGAGGATGATAGGATGAGCACGAGGTCAGGTTAGTTAGCCCATCGTGTCAATAAGATAGTATAAAAAATAGTTTGTGAGTTTAAAAAAAAAGTAAATTAATAGATATATATGTAGACATTATCTATAATATAAAAATGAATCGCTGAATGTGTTGCTAAGCATAAATCTCGAGAACTACTGAACCGATTTCGATATTTCTTTTTTTAATATTCCTTGAAGTACGAGGATGGTTCTAACGGAGAGAAAATATTTTAAAATTACCTATAAATGTCTAAAAACAACACTTTTCTATGATCCAATACAAACGATTCGTAATGATACCTAAAAGTCAATTTGAACTTTAATACCATACCATAAAGTTCAAGTATCAGTGGTATGTATAGTACAGTATATTATTATATTATAATAACATTACATATTATAACTAGCTACTCGCCCCGGCTTCGCACGGGTGTACATATATTATAAATATAAACCTTCCTTTCCAATCACTCTATTTCTTAAAAAAAACCGCTTCAAAATCCATTGCGTAGTTTTAAAGATTTAAGCATACATAGGGACGGACAGACAGCGACAGCGACTTTGTTTTATACTATGTAATGGCAATATTTATTTATATATTCAGTATGTTTAGAGCCAGATACAACATATGGGAACATACTGCTGGTGCAATCAGACTGGGTCTGACCCAGGTCATGTGCTGAAAAACAGCGTTCCAGCATTAGAGGAGCATGGGTCTATTCGGTGGGTGTTTTGACATACAGATACACACACAAATGAAGTGCGAACGTGAATATGCATAAATAAAGAAATATATAAATATATTATTAGTTTTTTGACAAATTCTAGAGGTAGTGTTGACACAAACTCTACCTCTGGAATTCATCAACATATTTATTGTATATTTTAACCCAATTTTCAGGACTATATATCGTTTCAAACGAGTACTTACGTTTGCATAGTAATCTGAAACGTGTATTTAACTAGTAAACACAAATTTAAAACACATAAATTTATTATCACTAATTTATTTGCTGAGGAATAACATCAGAACTCTTTGGACATGCTCGTTCAAGAATTTGCAAATAGACTGCTCGATGTTTGCACTAGTAACGAGTGTTGCGCTGAATTTTAATTATTTATTTATTATTTACTAGCTCTACCCGCGGTTTCACGTGAAATTTATAGCCTATATATTATTCTGATGTATAAGCTATATTACTGTAAAGTTTCATCAAAATCCGTTAAGTAGTTTTTGCGTGAAAGAGTAAGATCCATGTATATTCACAATCTTGGCATTTAATATTAATAAGATACGAGTATATAAAACTCTTATGTCACAATGTTTCTTGAAATACAATAAGCTTTATAACATAATTCTCTATTAATGCAAATTATTATTGTATTGTGTTATTTTGTGTGTGTAAAAATTTAGTTATGCATGCTGTGTCTACATCTAGTAGGATGTTTAGAAATAGAAATCGAAATAATCTTTATTCAAATAAACTCACTACAAGCACTTTTAAATAGTCATATTTTGATTCTACCACTCATTCGGAATGCAGATTCATCACAAGAAGAATGAGCAAGAAACTTGTGTATTGCTCTTTTTAATAGATGTTTTTTATATAAATAATTACAGTATAACAAGTAAGAGGCATGCGATAATCAACATAGAAATCGCTAATTGTATTACTTAAATAGTTTGTTTTATGTGTGTAAAGTTATGTACTATGTAAGACATCCAGTTTTGTAGACCTAATAAATAAAAAATACAAAAAAATACAATGTATTTAAATATAAATAAATTCTGAGGAGTACAGCACTTAGTAAGCATAAAAATCGGTCGACTTGACCGATTTCTATGAAATCTTATATGCGTATTTAATAGGTATGAAAATCGGCTACTATGTGTGAACCTCCCCACGGGCCCACCCGTTCCACCCCGACCACACTTTTACACACACACACGACACCGTCCTCGCCGGCGAAGACGACGACCTCAAACACACAATATCGCGCATTCAACCGGGCGCCTGCGCGCGCCCGGGCGCTCCACACCGGCGCCCCCGGGCGCCCCTCCGATCGATCCCCCGTCCAATTCAAACGGGGATCGAAATTACGACGGCCTGAGCCGAGGTTCGAACCCCTAGTGGTGCCCTCAGACTAAAGTCGTATCCTTCGGGCAGGAGTTGGCCTTCAGCCGCTCCATAAGTCCTTCTGCGGGTTTGGAGTGCCATCTGCACTCGCCCCATAACGTCCGGTGAAGCTGTAAAGGCCAGCTACGGCCAACAGCATTAGAGTAGTCCGAAAAAAAAAAAAAAGGCTACTATGTATTTTTCATACCCCTATATGAGAAACGTTGTCCACCCCTAACATTCTTTTATAATTTTTGGCACCTTTTTTTTATAAGGAGGCGTTAAAAATACATACAACCATAAAATTACTATCATCAATCCTTATTTTTAATAGCGACTAGCTTTTGTCCGCGGCTTCGCTTGCGTTAATTTATCCCCTTAGTGATGGAATTTATCAAAATCCTTTTTTAGGGGATGCTTACGTCATAGTAGTGCATGCATGCAAAGTCTCAGCCTGATCGGTTTCAAATTGACAAAGTTTGTATGAAACTTTGTCCCCGTGGGGGTAGAATTAATTAAAATCCTTTCTTAGCGGATGCCTAAGTCATAACATCTAACTGCATGCCAAATTTCAGCCCGATCCGTCCAGTGGTTTGGGCTATGCGTTGATAGATCACTACGTCAGTCACCTTTGAGTTGCATATATACATATAGATGTACTTTTAACAACATTTGTAAATAAGATAGATAGATCACTATGTCAGCCACTTTTGAGTTATATATATATATATATATATATATATATATATATATATATAAATATCCCCTTGGGCACTTTGTGGCTCAGACGTGCCGTATAGGTAGTTTTTTGTTGATCCTTTTTCACTTGTTGATCCGGAGGCCTTTTGTTGATCTAATGCCAGCTGACGATATATAAATGTTGATCCTTTTTGAGCCACAACTGTCACGACGAGTAATAATAATAATTAAGCGATTTATACACGATTTTATACAAATCCACCTTTTTGGCATTCGACCACTTCTTGATCCAATTCAAACGGGCCAATCAGGGTGCAGCATTTGCCAAGGGCTTCCTCATTGGCACGTTTGGACTACTACATTATGGCTACAGTAACTTAATAATGTCTAGCTAGTATTTCAAGAATAATAGTCTATCTAATCTAAATATTTATAGAAATCAGTCTAGAGGAACGTGACTCCAGATCAAACCTCAATACTTGTTATTTTTTGGACGGGAATTTTTCCTTTAGTAACAACGTTACTGAGCGAATGAAGAGAAGACGTAACGGCGGATCCAGGGGGGAGCGTCATGGAGGTCTTGGGAGTCATGGGGGCGTCATGACTCTCCCCCCCCTTACCCCAGGACTTAGGTAGACCACTAATTGAACTAAAAAATAATGAAACAGCAAATTTTTTTGCAGGATCGGAGTGTTGGTGCAGTAGTATTAATTATAATTAAACATTGTTACTTAAAATATAACAGTTAAAGTACTATAACACTAAAAGCAAAATAGGTATTTTCAAAATACTTTTTCAAAATAAATTACCCTTTGAGTTTTTGTCCAAACCTCAGATATTTTATTTATTTTAGGTATATCAATCATTACATAGTATAGTATAGTATAAAACAAAGTCGCTGTCGCATCTAACAAGTACATAAATAAAGAAAGAAGACTTTTTGGCTCTGAATATATTTCAAAAATCAATTACTTGTGTTAATCAATTTATATACTCTTTCTTATTTCATAGTACTTGTTTTGATCCGAGTATATACAGATACCGTAACGGTCTATTAATTATGAATTTATTATACCTAACCTAGATATTCTATTTTGACGAAACTCCGTGTAGTAGTAGTATCCGATAAGGGTATGCGAACCCTAAGTATTATTTCAAAATGACCAGTAACTTTGAATTTTGAATTTTGATTTTAATAAGCCTTTGAATCAACTTACCAAACGGACGCTCAAGGTTCGATTCCCGCCACCGATTTTTTTTGTTATTTTTTTTTTGTCTTTATTCTAATTTTAAATTAACTATTTTAATAATTAAATGAATTTAATCGAACAAAACGTTGTTAAGTATTCAATTAATTTTAATTTACATTAC